CTGCTTCAACCTTCGCGGGATCAGGCTCGATGCCACCTGCGGTAAATACGTGGCCCAGGTAAGTAACCTTTTCTCTAACGAACACACACTTATCTCTGTTTGCTTTCAGATTAAAAAGACGGAGTCGCTCGAAGACCTGCTCAAGATCCTTCAGGTGTGTAGCAACATTGGACGAAATAATCAGTAAATCATCGAGGTAAGCTAAGACGCAAATATCCTATAATCCAGACCTCATGCGATCTATTAAGCGCTGGAACGTAACTGGAGCACCTTTAAGTCCAAACGCCATGCGACGGAATTGAAACGTTCCAAACGGTGTAGTAAAAGCAGTTTTGTGTCGGTCTTCTGGAGCTACAATCGTTTGCCAGTATCCAGCCTTTAAATCGATCGTGGACATCACACAGCCTGGTCCTTTGCTCTTCAATAGCTCATCGATCACCGGAAGTGGATACTTATCAGTAGGGGTGACGCTATTCAATATGCGGTAATCGACACAAAACCGAATCTCACCATTCTTCTTCGGAATTAACACAACAGGTGAGGCCCATTCGGATTCAGCATCTTCGATGATTTCGTCTTACAACATCTTCTCTATTTCCTTCCTCATGACTTCTTTCTTCGCAGGATTAACCCGGTATGGCGGGCTAGCAATTGGCGCGGCATCTCCAGTATCGATTCGGAGAGCAGCAAATTGAGTAGGTCCTCCCCCCGGAGTAAAAACGTCCTCGTAGACATTCAGGAGGTCAGATAATTGCTGTCGTTCGAAACACGTAACTGTCGGTTCTTTCCTCTCTGTTACGCCCTCTTTGGCTTCAAAAGACTTTCCCGCCAATTTCTGACATGCCTCCTTGAGATGACCATAGCGCTTACAGTAAGCACACTGCGGTCGCCTACTAGGTACTGACGACGGCGTAAACGATGGCTGAGCACTGCTCGATGGTAACATGGATAATGCCGGTTTGACGTCTGACATAGTATTCGATGGGCGAGACTAATTAAGGATGTCTTCTACACGTCTCGCTTGCGCTATTAATTCTACAAACGAAGTAAGACTAGAACGAGGTACCTTTTGTTTAACAAGCCATACGGCATGTCTAATTGTACTTCTTCCGTGAGAGAACGTTGCGGAAGTTGCGCGAACAATGCTCTGATGTGACAGACGAATAAGTCGGGGTGCTGTCTTTGACGCCTTGCCACCAAGTAGCGGCTATCCCCGTCAATAACATGGGCAAACCTCGCAGCGCGACATCGTCGCTCATATTTACGCATGATTTGTATACTTCGACAGCATCGATGAAAGCTAATACGTCGCTTGTTTTGTGTCCATCGAACCGCGTAGAGCACTTCGCAAAGTTGCCGGAAATATGTGTAGGAGTACTTACAGGAGCTGCTTGACTTAGCCTGTTTTTCAATAGCAGTAGCTGCTCTGTGGTCTTGGTGATCGAAGCCTCAGCGGCAGTTGCAGCTGGCGGCGGCGGTAGGGCGTGACCCTGACCCGCAACAACGGCATCACTGTGCCCCGAGGTAGTCGTTGGCGGCGCCGGCGCGGCCTGCAGGTCGACTCTGCGCGCCATCTACCGGTAACAACGGCGGCACCACGCCCGCAGACGAAACACCGGCCGCGGCAGACGCGGGACTCGCAGCACGTGATCGCGTTAACACCATAATGACACAGTAAAACACAGGTCACAGTTCTTGAACAAAGAGTACTTTAACCTAACTCAAACTTAGTCGGTCGGCACACTCGTAAGTATACAAAATAGTTCAAACAAAATATTTTTTTTTTTGAGTTAACCGCGTCCATACAACTAAAGACTATAGACTGACACTAGAAGTAACAATTATTGTTTGATAAACAATAATTGTTACTAATAATAATAAATAATTAATTTTTATATATATATATAAATATAACATAACATTTTTAACATATTGAAAATGTTATTAATTAGGGGAGAGATGTGTAGTATAATGAAGGTAGTTATTGGAAAGTAATAAATTAGTTGGCATCCGACCGCAGTGTTTTATTAACGCATCTTACACCTGAAACTACAAAAGTGATTTGAAAAAAATATTTAACTGTTAGGACGCTATACTATCCCCGGGTGACGTCGCACACTGGGCATTTTCCTCGGCTTTAATAGACATATTCGTCTCATATTTTTGACTTAATAAATAATCTGGGACGTCAAATTGTCTCGTTTTTAAACCGCGCGAAAAATTAAGCAGCCGAGTCGAACGATGCGAGTGATGCGCGAGATCGCATCATCTGTCAACCCATATGATATAAGAAAACCCAGTTCGAATTTTAGTTCTAAAGGCGACGTTATGGCGAAAATAAAAAAAATGTGCCAAAAGTTTTATTCTTACTTGAATCATCACCAGCTATTATTCACAGTCAGTTTAAAGCAAAATTGTTTCTCTGATCAAGATAACTAAAAGTTTCGGCTATGGGTATTTTTTTTTGCTTACTGATTTTGTTTAAAGAAAGAACTTGATAAAGTTTTATGTATTTTTCATTGACTACCTTTTAATTACCCTAAATAAAAAGAATGTCCCGTTTTAAGTCAAAAAATAAATGGTCAAGTTAGCTAAGACGGAATTTATTTTAAGCGTAAAATTTATTACAAATATCTTGAACCGACTTTCGTGCCATTTATGAAAATGCAGAATTGTAGTCTCTGTTTTGTCAAAGGGAACGAAAGGGATTAAAACAATGTGTAAGTCCAACTCCCACGACAGTTTATATGTACGGTTTTATATATAAACATCCTTTTAGATAATTAGCTTCATCTTTTGCGACCGTAACTTTCTACGGCTTAGCTTATAACATTTTATTTTTTCATTTAGTGAGTCCCCGTTTTTTTCTCTAATCTGTTTGATTATGTTTGCATCCGACGTAAACCAATAAAACAAGAATACTATGGGCTTATACGTCGCAATGAAATCTCGTTAAGACTCGTGCAGACATATATTCGTTATCTAGAATTTCAATATAAAGAATGCAAACTAAATTTTTAGCAGGTCCGTACAAATCGGAACAAAGATAAACAAAAATTAAAAGAAAATACTGGCCAAGTGCGAGTTAGACTCGCGCCCGAGGGTTCCGTACAAAGAGGTTAACTTAAAATTATTAAAAATGATTTTATGTTTTTATTATATGATGAAACTAAAAATTTACTGTTTTCGGAATTTTGCCATTATGTGTGATAAAACACCTTGCTTCATGCCAATTTTGAAGAATCTAGGTGGACTGGAATCCACGGACCTGCTCGGTTGTCCGAGTGGGCAGAGAGGTGAACTCCGACGTGGCGCGTCCCCGGGTGGTGGATAGGGGAACGCCCCGGCATTCGTGTCGGGGTAGGGCGTAAGCCCCGCGAACCAAACACCAGGGCCTGGCAGTGCGCGCAGGACTAGTCGATGGTGTTCTGACAGGTCTAACGGGCTAGCTGGGCCCAACCGGTGGAGGCGCCGGAGGTGGACAATTGTCCGCTACCGTGCTGCCTATGGAGGAGGGGCCGCGAGGGATGTGGGAAGGGTACTGGTTTATCCTGCCCCCCTGCATCTCTCGTGACCGGAGGACGTGTGGAGGCCGCGAGGGCTGTGGGAGGGTACTGGTTTATCCTGCCCACCCGCAGCTCTTGTGGACGGACGTGAGGGTCCGAGGTAGCGGACGGTCGCCGGCTGGGTCGCGGAAGAATGCGCGGGCGTACCCATAACCCGGCCACATGGCGAGGTCCTCCTGACCTCCGGGCCTGAGGGGTTTTAGTGGGTATGGCCGAACGACTGTAGGTGAGTCCCACACTCCCTGCGCCACTACACAATTGGCCAATTGGGCAATTGTCCAAAGTTTGTATGGAGCAACGTTATACCTTCGGCCGAAACTCACGAAAATTGACATAAATGATTTTCAGTACAAACAATTAATTACGTCTTTCAGGCCTTTTACAAATTTTTAAAGGTGTTAAAAGTGAGGCCAAAGTTCGTTTATATATAAAAAATTATTGCGAAATTCAATTAATTCTGCTGAAGAAATAACATCTCTCCATACAAACTTCGGACGCCCACTTTAGACCGTAAGTAGACGAATTTGGCAAAAATCTTTTATAATGTTCTACTACGTATAATAGTATAGTTTGAACTTCGCAAGCCAAGGAAGCAAAATTATACTTTTTTTGTTACGCGATATACCATTTTTCAGTTGCCCCTAATATTATTTTTTCGATATCTCCTAAACTATAATATTAGACAGAATGATATAGTTCCAAGGAAAAATATAATCTTAATTAAATTCTCTTGATAATAAACACATTTATTTACTTAACTCGTTTGAAATAGCGTATGAATTTAATTGATGTTTCTAAAGAAAAACAATTCGTTATTGTTAGAAAACTATAAATGATAGATATATACTATCGCGGACTTTTATTAAGCATATTTATAGAGCTACAATTCTTTCATTCTACATACATAATATAATTTTATGTAGGTCATATAGTTTAGCCTGAGTTAGCCAAGAAAGCAAAAATAACCCATTTCCTACGTCTTTTTGCCACGGTTTATTGAGAATATCCCAAAAACTACTGGAGTTTTAAATGTTTCAAAAATGACACGGAATATGTTTTGATAAAAAAGAATTATGAAAATCGGACAACTAGGGCTTCAGCTTTCTATCGACAAACAAAATAAAACGTACAGACGAATTGAGAAACTCCTCCTTATTGAAGTCGGTTAAAATACTTTTATTCGCGAGGACCTATTATTGACTATGTGTTTATCAATTACTTTATACCTTCTTTGAAAAATGGCTGTGTGTCTTTCTAGAAATAAATAAATATCGAAAACTACGCCCATCACTGTTATTGTAAATGACGTGCCGTATTTTATTCGAGTGATGGTTGCGTGCACGGCAGGTCGCGCGGCGTGAGCTCGCGGAGCGAGATGTGGCAGCGGTGCCTATTACTTTAAGTACGTTCGGCTCTTGTCTCGATACCAAACTCGTATCGTTTAATTTTGTTTTGTGTTTTTAAATCAAAAATGGAGAGATCAGACCACATTCAGGCGATCGTAGAAGATATTCCTGCCACCGATTTTCAATATTCCGGTGTAAGTGTGTGTTTATATATGCATAGTTTTGAAAATACATTGCAAAATAATAATATCTTAATGTACTCATAATAACCTTCACGAATTAATGAATGGAAAAGTTATTTCGGAAAGTTATGCTTACCATTCACGAAACTTTTTAACCGTGGTAGGAGCCAGCCAGTACATCATCTGTTGTCCGAAAGGGCCAAGTCGCTCGGTGCAATACCACAACCACACAAAAGACAAGCGGCAAGTAGTTCTTCAGTAGCGGCAGAAGACAAGTTCTTCCGTATTTCGTTCGACGATTGCCTTAATTTAATCCTTTTAAAATTTGTTCCCTTTCCTTGTAAGAAAAGCATGGGAAGGGGAATGGATTTCGAAGCGGCTCGCTTGCCACCGTATAAGAAAAACTTTGGTAAGATTTGTAAAATTGACTCTAGATTTTTAATTGCCTAAAATTTAACTTTTTACCTATAAACTATAATGTTATATAGATAAGGGGCAAATGGTACTTAACATACGTGTTATACACATTTGGTTTCTAAGCCTTATTACTATTTACTTTAAAAATATTTAGTATTCGTTTAGTACAAATAACACAACATTTAACATTTGATAAATTTTATTAGAGTTTGAACATTTAAAATAAGTGTAATTCTAGTGAGATGGCGCTTATATATTAAAGGTTTTTTTTTAATATTCTTTGCCTTTATAAAACTTTTGCGTTCGCATCACGCTATCCAGCTCTCAGTCAGTCGCACTTTTAACTTTCTGTTTTACTGTATTCTTAAGGCTGAATAAATTTCAAACAGCCGGCCAATGTCATGTTTTCAAATGTTGTAACATTTATAGAACAAGGGCAAAACTCCATGCATCTTATAATGGACAAAAAAATCTTGCATGCATAAATGACAAAAATATTTTTAAACTCAGTTGCACTTCCTGAATTGATTATTGCAAGAATTCTGAATTAATAAAGCGGAAAAAAGTGGTTATTAAGTCTTGAATTTTTGTATTGTATACGTGAATGACATATAAAACAAACGAGAAAAAAATGGTACAAGATGGAGATTCGAGGGAAAGAAAGGATATGTGTAATAAAAAAAAATGTTTGTAAAATGATTTGATTGTTTGTTGGCATTATGTAGGCCCGAAACTAATGAATCGATCTAAAAATGTTTAAGTGTTGAAAAGCTACACTATCCCCGGGTGACATAGGCTTATAATATTTATTTATAACCAGGTTTTTATTTTAATTTCGCGCGGACGAAGTCGCGTGCGACTGCTAGTATAATATAATATAATAATATATGTGTATAATATTAGTAAGATAATTTTTTTTTTTATTTATCATATTCTTAAAATTTAAATTTCATATATAAAATAAAAAAAATATTACAAAATGTATTATATTAAAAATAGAGCACCACTGGAATCCCATGTCTAAAACAACCAGTGGTCAAGGCTGCGTAGACAGGAACCTTCTCACGATGCGCGCGGTTTGTAGGATAACTTTTTTTTTTATAACAAGGGGGCAAACGAGCAGCGGGAACACCGAGGTGTTCAACGACGCCCATAGACATCAGCAATACCAGAGGAACCGCAGATGCGTTGCCGGCCCTTAATCCAACTGTTTAACGAGAGCTTCTTCACATGTTGGTCGAAGCTCTTCGCTATCAGTCCATTCACCGATACGACTATCGGAATAATGGTATTCCATTTCATACGCCACATGGCGGTAGCCTCGTGAGCTACATCTAGGTATTTTAACAGTTTTTCGATTTTAAATTTCACGAGATTCTGGTCATGTGGAATAGTGACATCGACTAACATTGCACAACTCTCAGACCGGTCTATTATTAATATATCATGTCTATTGGCAGCAAAAGTCCTGTCCGTAATAATAGATCGATCTCAGTAGAGCGTAATATCGTTACTTTCCAGAACGGGTGAAGGTTAGTAAGATTATTAGTAAGATCTCAAAAAGTATAACGTAGATTTTATTCGTATTAATAACACGGTTTTTGTTTCATACACTACGCCTTTTTGTAAAACAAACCTTTGTCGTAAAACCTACAGAGGGCTCGCAAACACGAATGTCGCTGCCAACTTTTTTGTTAGATATTATATAAAGTTTATTATACATGATTTTTTTACTCTGGTAAATTTTGATTTTGCCAGCAGATTTTCCATAAAATAATGTTTACGAAGTACATACATAGCGTTTAATTCAGGTACTACTAGACAACGCTACTAGAAATTAAGTCTCTATGCCTTGTTATTACGTTATGAAAAATAACTATAGATACGAACTTTTACCCTCATTTTTAGACTTTACAATTATAAACATTTGTATTTTGCATAGTTATTATGAATTTTATTATTTAATAATTTATTAAGTGTTAAACAAAATGTTTTCGGTTACAGATTCCGGATCTAATAACTGTCCACTAATATCCCCGTAGGTTTATCTCTTCTGCAGCATCTGAAATTCTTTAAGGGAGTTCGCCAGTTCTCGCCAGGAGATTTTGCACAGACTTTTGTCTTTAAGGCAGCCCCATGAAGAAAATCGAGCGGATTTCGATCCGCAGAACCGGGTAGCCATGAAAATTGATCTTTTTATCACATAAAATAATGTGGCAAAAGACCAAGCGGCCACCTGAATTCGCCAAAACGGCGAAGCAACGGCTTAGTTATTAGGTACTTTTTGATATTGCCTTGGACTAATGAGTTTGACCGTTAAAATACTTTTCTATTTCAAACAAAAATGAAGGAGACAAAGCGATGCTATTGGCATGTAATTTGTTTATTACTCATGTTTGTTAAATTTGTACCGGTAAAAATATCACGTTACCTTTTACTGATACTGATTATATTTAAGAAACAAATAAAAAAACTGAATGTCAATATCCAAACTACATCAAATTTTTGGTCGATTGCAATAAACATTCCAGTGTGCGTGGCGCGCACACATATGTAGATAACACTTGTACGTATAGTTTCCGCGCATACTATTCTTAAAACCCGCAAAGACAATCCACGCGCCGCCCACTCACTTCACCCGCGATGGTCTGACAATTGTTGTTAACTTTATTTAAATTTCTTTCTACCCGACAGCGAAAATTATAAAAAAAAATTGTCGAGCAAAATTTTACATTACCAAATTTTTACTGGTTATGAAAAAATAACCCCTTGATTGATAAAATGAAAAAAAAGTAGCCTGAGATTCGAACCGGTAAACTTACATATTACGGCAAACATACTAGAATACTGCGCCAAACTAGTATATATTTATGGGCACCTTGCATGTACTCATATATTTGACGCTGTGTATGTACCGATGTATTTGAGCAGGGTGAATGTATCTATTAATTTGAGGACTTTTGTTGTACCGATATGAAAAATGAAAAAAAAATCTTTATTTTTATACACAAGAAATTCAAATTCAATGTTGCCTTGACTCCTTAACTAGGAAGACCTGTACTTAAGGAGAAAAGGACTTCCCATATATATAAATTTAATAATTGTTTGTGTGGAAAAACAACTTAATTTATGAATTAATAATTATTGTGTGTGTGTGTGTAGGTGTGTGTGTTTGTTTGTTTGTGTGTGTGTGTGTGTGTGCGCGTGTGTGTGTGGGTGTGTGTAAATGTGTGTATGTGTATATTTATAAGTGAATATGGATGTGATGACTTAGTTATTACGTTGGAATAAATTTTCACATGTGTTATAATCCAACTCCATCAGCCATTCCTTTGTAATTTTTCTTAAATTATACGCTTTCAGGTTTTTTACATTGGACTTTTTATCTAAAATATTATATAAGTAGGGTGCAAGGAATTTAAAATGTTTTGTGGCAAATGTACTTAAATCTATGAATTCTTTATTTTTATGAAGGGCCTTGACGCATTCAAATATGAAAGTTTTACGAATACTCAAAATATTATGTTTATTATAAAGTTCGTCGGTGGGATGTTTGAAAGGCAACCTAAACATCACTTTTAAAAGAGCACGTTGGGCACGTTCTGCTTCTAAGATACAAGTTTTGGAAGCTCCACCCCAAGAACATATGCAGTAGTTAATTAAACACTCGCAGAGAGCTTTGTATGTTTTAGTTAGTAGGACATAGTCAGCAACCGCTCGTAGTTTTCTGAATATGAAAATAAGTTTTCTGATCCGCTTAGCCACTGTATTTACATGGTGTTTCCAGTTGAGATTTTCATCAAGCGTGACACCAAGATACTTGAATGTATTCGTGCGTTCAATTATTGAGCATATACAATTCTGCCTATGTGATGGCTGCCTTTTACAAGGGGCTTCGTGTATTGTTATAGAAAAATTATTTGGCGGTTTAGATCGCGATGTTTTATAAAACGAGACGTATTTAGTTTTGGTGATGTTGAGAGTTAGTAAGTTATTTTCTAGCCACCTTGTATTGTGTGTGTAGCCAGGCCCTTTTCTGCAGCATCCTTTAGTGTTTCCCATGAATTTTCGTGGAACAGAATGACGGTGTCATCTGCAAACATTAGTAAGTCTGCTTTTTGAAGGTTCATTTTACATAAATCCCAAGCGTACTGCCTTGCGGGATACCATAAGAAGCACTAGCGAAGTCACTGGTCACAGATCCAACTCTTACTTTCTGTTTTCTGTTTGTCAGATAGTCACTGAAACATGACAAGACTGTTCCTCTTATTCCATAGTTTTCTAACTTTGTTAGGAGGACAAATACAACTATCAGTAAACACATATAATTATCAATACGTCAACGTAAATTTAATCAAGAATTACTAAAAATGAAAATCAACTAATCATTTATTAATTTAGGTTTATTTCTGGAACTCTGTTGGTCGATCCCTATCGTATGATACGCACATTGATGAGGTTTTAAATGTCATTCGCCATTTTGTTAAATTGGCCATCTTGAATTTATTTAGAGTACCTATATTCAATTAATCAAGACCTACCATTTGATATCCATATTAACGTGGTCGTAAAGTTTCATTTGCCATTTTGTAAAA